AATTATTAGAGGGGCTAAAGGTCCAGTCTGTCCTAAATTGTAATAATGATATGTATTTCTATTGCACACAACGTTTTGTAACCGCCTTAGTTATCATTTTCGGGCCTTAACATGCTGAAGGGTTAACGTGTTACTTACTCCATAATATACACATTTCCAGCTTAAAGATCGTACCAAATTTACACAACCATGGGCATTTTGCAAGGACACTTGCACTAATAAGTGCATTAATTAGATCATGATACCAAATGAACGATACAGATTCGTATGTACCTGTTAGTGCAAAATGGTATCTATTATATATAACGAAAACTGTTCGATTGCAATATGTGGGTCATTCCACTCCGTTACATTTGTTTTCCCTAAGAAAATAGGCTTACAAAATCAGTTGAAAAGAAATTTCACACTCTTATACTAATGGTGTAATATTTTTAAGTTAATACACTTCTTACATTTGTAATGTAATATGTTAAAATTTTATATTAATACATGACAACTTTGACTGTAAATCTTGGAGACAGAAAAAAAGAAGATCCCTAATGCTACATTAATAGCATTGTGCAAATAAAAATAATCACTAACATACTTGTACAACGTTAAATTATTATTTTACAACGCTGCAAGCAACATATTCTTGTTTGATTTAGTTTTCTGAACATTATTTAGATCTGAACAGTACAGCCCAAAAAATGCCAAGCAGTAGTGTTCAGCAGTTGCAAGCAACAAATTCCTTTTTTGGTGATAATTTGGTTTTCTGAATATTATTCAGATCTGAACATTATTTAGATCTGAACATTACACCCCGGAAATGCTAATCAGATGTACACAGCAGTTGCAAGCAACAAATTTCTATTTTAGTGATAATGTAGTTTTCTGAACATTATTTAGATCTGAACATTACAGCCCAAAAATGCTAATCAGTAGTATACAGCAGTTACAAGCAACCTAATATTCTTGTTTGATTTAGTTTTTTGAACATTATTTAGATCTGAACATTGCAGCCCGAAAATGCCCATCAGAAGTATACAGCATCTACAAGCAACATAATTTTATTGTTTGGTGACGATTTAGTTTTCTGAACATTACAGCCCAAAAATGGCAATCGGAAGTATACAACAGTTGTAACATTTTCTTGTTTGGTGACGATGTAGTTTTTCTGAACAGTATTTCGATATGAACATTACAGCCCAAAAATGGCAATCAGAAGTATACAGCAGTTGCATGCAACACATTTCTTTTTTGGTGACGATTCAGTTCTATGAACACTATTTGGATCTGAACATTACAGCCCGAAAATGCCAATAAGTAGTATACAGCAGGTGCAACATATTCTTGTTTGGTGACATTCAGTTTTCTGAACATTTTATACTCAAAATACCAAGCAGTAGTATACAGCAGCATACTTCTTATTCGCAATTCTTAAGACAATGGTATGAAACAAGGCTCATGCATACATACAGTCATACCACTGAATCATCCCAACTGCCCTTCCCCCACAGGTGCTGGTGTAATAATTATACTAAAAGTTATAGTAAAACTACGACTTCACGCTGATAATCGTGAAATGTCATTCACTCAACACGGGAGGAAACGTTTTGATTGTGGTAATTGTAACAGAAAATGTTAGTAAATGGATGTAATCGGCCGTGAATAAAAACCATTGGAACGGCTGTACATACTACAGATGACAAAATGAACCACACTACAAAAGCAAAAGCTTGTGGGTTTTATGTTTTCCACTGCTTATGTCAAGCAGGTAAGATAGGCTGAAATAGAAAAAAAAAACGTTCACGCGATTAGGCTGAGGCCCAGTGTAAAAAAATAACTGCTGGGATAACAAAAAACAAGTAATCTGTCTTCATTAATCTAATCAGTGTAGGATCAAAAAAGTAGGATGTAAAACTCCAAATCATCTCATTTAAATCATTTAGTCGCAATATATAAATAATGCATAAAATATACGTGATGGGGCAAACCTTATTTATTTCAATAAAACCGGCCTATTTACCAGCATAATGTGATCAATTGTAGCTATTCAACCATTGTGGCTGTAGTAATGGTTACTTAAAGAGATACCGGTACATATTTTAGCAAATTTGAGTCACATGATAATAAAAACGAGTCACCCATAATATTTGCAGTGTAGAACTGTATGAAATGCAGTTACGACCCATTGCATCACTAATAATTTGGTAGTGCCACAATACAAAGTATTTCAACTTAGACCATCGAAGGATTTCTCCGGGTCAAAATTGGTTCTTTTGTACTGAGTATAGCAATTAGGTATGAAATGATAACTGACCAGAAGAAACCACACTGATGATTTCCTAGTGTATTCCTGTAGTCAATATTATTACAATATGATGATATAGATCTCTTTATCATACTTTCATCTGGTTTTATTATTAATATCAATAGATGCTACATAACTTAAATACTGGTGGCGTGAAATAGAAAACCAAAAGTCACATATGTTACACAAAAGGTTCCAAACAATCCAAACCATATTTGACCTTATATTTGACATGGATATTTAGTGGTACTTTATGGACAATCGCCAACAATTTGGTGAATTTCTGACGTGTATACAATGCAAATAGGATATGACATTTTGGGTGGAGAACTGGGGAGTTATAATTTTTATTGCTGTTGATACTTTAAACCAACTTTATCCATATCACCAACAAGAAAGTTGCCCAGGCAGGCTCGTCTGCTCGAATTTGATTTTTGCAATCTTGTGCTGACCTGATTCATACTTTTATACACAGGCATCTTAAAAACATTTTTTGCATGATTACAGAACCTGCTTAAAACTCGTTCTCTTAATCTACCCAACCATACCATGGGGCGGTTAATGGTTCGGTCAATTTTTATACGCGGATTATTTTAGTATCCTATTGCTAATGGTATTCTAATTCTTACTTATACAATTGTTTAAATTAAGAGATCTGATCTCATACCTGCACATATCAATTTCCTGGGAATAAGTTGAATGAAAATAAACAGGGAGATGCTATTCATGATACAGAAGTGGGAATGTATCCAACGTAAAAATACCGATTGAACCTCTTATCATAAACAATATAAAATGTGAAATATGCACAATTAGTAATGGGGAATATGTAATCCGATTATCTATATATTGTATGCGACATGCTTGTTTGATTTTAACTGAAGATGGCCATGACATAAAGTAAATTACGAATGCAGATTGGCTATGCTGGTTCTGACTCGTCCCATCTGAACATAGCGTATTTAGGGGAGGGACAAGGTCATATTTTGAAGTGAAAATTAGGCCCTCTAAATGCACAAAATTCATCTTGGACCATCTGAAATCACTGGTTTCTGGAGCCTCTGCCACCCCAGTCCCCCGGCCTTATAGAGACTCCTCATATTTTTGCCCTGGAGCATTTTGTAGATACTCCCATAAGTCTGAGACCGACGCCCTTAGAAAAAGCTTGATTCATAATACAGTTCGAGTGGGAAAAAAAATATTGAAAACTCGGATTAACACTGATTTTAAAACAGGTGCTCATAGATTTTATATATTGGAAATGCCTTGAAGGAATTGTGATATACAATTCAACTCATTTATCTATTAACACTACACACTCTGTAGTTCGAAACGTCATGAAAAGAGAGTCTTAGAACAATAAACCGAGAATTTGAGACCATAAAGGTAAAAATGCATCTATCCTGAAAACTTGCCGCAATGCACGCTACAAAGCGTTTCTCGTTTTCAATAACCCAATATAAGTATATCAAAAAAAACCTTCTGCTCAAGCCTATGTTTGTATTTCAGAATTATTACCAAATCAAGGTCCTGTGTGTCCAGAAAGACCAGGAGAAGACGATTTACCCGGTAAGGAGTTTTATATTAATTTTTAAATATAATCAGTTAAAGATAATAATACGTTTTTTGGTATATTATTCTCTTATTCAAAGAAATGTTCGAATAGAAATCAGCAATTGAACTACCGACGTCCTAATAGCAGGTATTATTGCCAAGACAATCAACCAAAGGCAGAAGAGACGCCAGGAGATGCAACCTTGATTTCTAATGAAGCAGAAGTGTTTGTTGAGTAATAATGTTTGAATATTACACATTCACACCTCCCTAAAACTATAAAGGAAAGATCCAAAGTGGTAGAATGCAACCCGATCGGATCTCACAAATTATCAACAACCAAACCAACAGCACAGAATCATCCAAAATTTGACCCAATCCACCTATCTAGTTTGCAATATCCGTATCCGCTGGAAGCGAACGTTAACTTGTCAACTACCAACCAACCTGGAAAAATGCATAAGCATTGTGTACCCTCTTGCGGTATTTACCATGTAACGCCCAATGTTTTTCCCTTGAATTTCCACATGTGTTATGGTTTAATATTAAAATCTAAGTGGGTTACAACCTCTTGAGACCTTATTTATTACCACCCTACTTTATAAAAACATACAGGTCCATTAAAACACAATATAAACTTGGTATTGATGATGTAATATTGCTATTGTCTGTGGTTTGGTCTAGTCAAGACGGTTAAAAGGAAATCAAAGGCGGTGACAGAGTGTTGTTTCGGCTAGACCTGTCTCAGATATATTTTAGAAGAAATCGTATTAGAGGTTCTGTACCAGATGAATCTTAGCGCAGTCTTGATATAAATGCCTGGTCCACAATTGAAAGTTACAAGTTACAAGTATTCATATTCACAATATCGAACATTGAAGTTTTGATTAAGAATACATTGTAGAATTTTCGGGCGAAATCTATTTGAAGACGGACCTCTAGCACTCTTGTAAACCTACAGATGATCCAGTCCAGAATCGGCATTTAATTTTATTTTCAGCGAAATCAAATGAACTACCGACATTTTTAAGGGGTGTCAATTTCCTTTAGTTGAAGTATAGTCCACAACCCCAACTATTGAATTAATAAATACTTGCTTTCACTCCCGGAGACGTTAAAGAGTAGAAAAAAAAATTGAAACCTTTGACTATTTCTTTCAGGTTTTGATTTTATATCCAAATATCAATTAGATAATGTATTACGACAGCCTGGTGTGAAAAAAGTCCCCGGCTCCAATGAATTCCAAGTAGCTTATAGAATTAGTAAAAAAGCCAATTTAAGAATTAGAACAGAGTAAGTGTTTGTTTATGTTTTATCAATAACAGGAATGCAGAAGTTTTGAATTACAAGATTTGTTACGTTTAGAATAAATTATGGCATTTTAGTAAATATTAATTTTACATTTTTAAAGACGAAAAAAGTGCCAGTTCCCATCATCCAGTACCTTACTCGGTCACTAGCCGCGTTTAAACTGCCAAAAATTATTCTGGCCGAGTCTGGACGAGTATGGTTCACCTCAAGCGAGCCAAATGTAAAGGCAGTATAAACGGTGCTAATGAGCCGGAACTAAGTTACGTTAAGCTCAATTATGAAAATGTTATAGAGCAGGGCAGACAACTCTTCTATGACTAACTGAACTGTTTTCACTTCCAAACAACAAGACAAAATAATTGTCATGGCCTTGTTAACATGCACACAATAGGACATAAACTTTCTCGCTGTTATTAATTTAAGCTCTTTCTTTCCTTAATAAAGACCTTATGCAAAACATGTTTGTTAATGAACAACCTGTCTTATGTTTCAGTCAATTATTTCCAAAAGGTCTACCAGACCGGTTTTCATTTGTCAGCACATTTCGCATGCCAGGGAAAACAAGGCGAGAAAAATGGAATTTAGTACAAATAAAAGATACAAGAGGACAGCCGCAATTTGGAGTCCGTCTTGACGGTGAAACAAAAACTATAGATTTTTATTATATAAATTATGAAGGAAGAGTAACCAATTTAAAATTTAGTCAAAATGTTAAACAAGTAAGTAAGTCTTGAAAGCAAAATCAAGCAATTGATATATTTCATATATTCAGTCGTGTGCCCTTTTCACCCAACTACTGGTTCACGGCAGTCCATCTTTGACTGAAACAGACAGAACATATTTTGAATATCAGAGTCAATCACATTAATTTGATAAAGTGGTTATCACCTTCGTAAATTTAAAAACTACTGGCTTGATATCAGAAAAAAAGCTTCTTGCCTTATGTGAGATTGAAACCTGCCACTCCATATCACCAAGTCACACGAGCAGCACAAACTAGTGGGTACTGATAGACAGCGAGAAGAAGAAGAAATGACAAAAATCCTAAAATTGTAGCTTTCCAAATCACCTTATCGGATAGTAATATTCTTAAAATTACTCATGCAATATTGGCCTTCAACATTATTTCATACAATTTAAACCACTTCTATTTCAGTTATTTACTAGAGATTGGCATAAAATACATTTTAGTGTAGGGCGAGAATATATAGAATTATATTTAGATTGTCAACCTATAGCATCTAAACCTATCGTACCATGGCGACCTATTGATGTTAATGGTGAAATGGTGTTGGGTACAAAAGATTCTACTGGAGAAACGGTACCTGTAAGTGGCAATCCTTTTGTTCTGTCACAGAAGCTTTAGCTTTCCTCAAATCAATTTTATATGATGGAAGATTTAAGTCTGGATCTGGATGCCTTAAAACCTCATATAGTAATTTTAACTAATTTACCATTTTAGTCGGTAGTCATGAACATCAACGCCATGTCGGTCTTGTGGACGGACGAAATTTATACTAGAAGGAACGTTTCTTAGAACACTTATCGTTACTCGTAAAGCATTGCTGAAATGTCTTGTATATGGGTAATTACTAAATCTTTTTTTGCTCATATGGTTTAAACCCCCCCCCCCCCCACCCATATCCGTAGAACTATAAGCAGCTCTCATTATTGATTTTACGCTATATTTGATATTTTTCAATTCAGTTTGATCTCCAATGGTTGGTGTTACACTGTGATCCTTCCAAACCAGAACGAGAAACCTGTGATGAGTTACCTCCCCCTTCAGTAAGTTTGATTTAGATTCACGTATTATTACATTTTGATATTCGTTTAATATATTTGCTATTGTTTGTAACCTACAGTGTTTGTTATTCAAAAATGAAAATATCGCCCAAAATCATAATATCCTTTCTTGCAAAAAGGTCAGAAATCAAATGCCTGCATAATTACTGTGTGGCTGAGCAAGATGGGTAGGAAATACCGCTTACCTTGTTTACCTGCAAAATATTATTGTTTCGTCTAACAGCAATGATTCTTTCAGCCCAGACGTAGGAAACCTAACAAACGTAAACCTAAGGTATGATGAAAACCCACATAGTAGTCTAGACTAGCCCTAGAGTAGATTTTAATGAAAATGGTTTTGGTTTAAGTATCTGGAATTATTGAACTATAGGGACGTATAAGAGATTTTTTTAAATTTCCATCAGAAAATATCAGTAAAAAAATCATCACTTCCAATCATTTATTTAAAAAAAACGTCATAATTTTAAATCATTAAATGTACATTAATATCATTATTAAAAGAACTTCTGAAAAATTCAAATCTCTTTTATAACCCTGAAGGACATCATGCAAGCATAAAAATATAAATTCGTATTACATATTAACGGATCAACAATATTAAATCTTATTTTTTTTATTTGTTAGTGAAAAATAGTGAATTGACTTATTAAATGAAGCATCCACAATAATTGTACCAGTGCTTACACGTGAAAAATTTGACCAAAAGGTACTACAGGATAAATTTCAATAAATGATTGTATGCAATTTTATTTTATTTTCTAAAGTTGGCATATTTATTTTCTAAAGTTAGAGTTTCGTGAATTTAGAAATTTAGAAAAATTTTTTTGGTATAAAGACTCGCTTGTAAGAAATTCGTATTTCCCCAATCAGCGTAAAAGAATCCACGCTCTTGTATTAACGACTTTCTGTCAACAGAACTTACTTGCATGGTGTCCAAGTAACAATGTTAACTTTGTAAGAAGGTAGTGGAACTCGTATTTGTTGATAATTTGTTACCTAACCTCTTTAACATGCATTATCCTTTTATAATTTTAGCTATTTTCTCGATTTCCATACAAAATTGTCGGCCCAAAATTGAAACGTTTCATTGCATTAGGATAATTGCATCTTTCCAACTAAAGTTATTACAATTTTGTTTGCATTTTGGCAGAGGATTGTCTCTTTTGCATCTTGTTCTGTAAAATCACCAATCTCTATGTCCACAAAGATCGGCATCAATCATTTTTCAAACAAGGAATTGGACCGGAACTGGCGATATGTTGTGAATGTTAAATAAGAACGTCGAGGAAATAGCTAAATATTTTGCCCCGAAAGACAACCATTGTTGAGAACAATGATAACTTACTTTTAAATCCTACCTTGTACTTGGTGTAATGGATATTTTATCCCCTTCCCATGTACTGCTAAACAAAATGTGTTCCCAAACAACCCCAATTTGTTTTTTTTTCTTAACAAAATGCTTGAATTACTCTCCGTAATGTTTCTGTTTATTTTTTTTAATGTTAACTTTAATGTTTGATTTGGCAGTTAATTTTATTGTATATACAATAAGTTTTTTTCCAGGATTGTTAGTACCATTAATCGTTACATAGCTTTTAGCATAGCGTTCACATACTAGTATGCTAGCATGACTCATATAACATATTAATGTTAGTATAAAATGGCGCGTGGCGACTAAATATTCGAATTGCATATTACTAACATCGATTAGCATAGCTTTATGCATAAACCTTAGCGTTCACATAAAATAGCATAGTTGCCATAAAGCGTATACGTTATTAACCTTATACTTTGTGTTATTTACAGATTGCATGTATATAAGCATAGCGTTATCTAGATTAGCTGGCGAGGTAAATAATAGCATGTTATAGTTTTTAGCTGTTTGTTCGATTAGCATAACAGCGCTTAGTCGATCACATTTTGCTAAAACTCTCAAAAGTTGGCAGTAATTCAAAAAAGGGAGTTCAGTCTCGGAAACAAAGGATTATTGTCCAGTGAAGTCAATTTTTCCACAAGCCAGGCAATACTTGGATGATATCTAACAGAACTATTTGTAAATGTGCCCTTATCACTCTCCCTATTGCAATGCATCATGCGCCCATAGTTTGCTTATTTTATCAGAGAGATCCTCTAGGGCCGACCAGAACGCCAACGAGAAGACAACCAACTGAAAGACCAAGTGGGCGTGGTGATATTAATGCAGATAAGGTAGAGGCGCTGCGATATTTATCACTTATATTTATTTCACAAATTTATAATATTCCGTTTACAATTAGCCAAAAGTATTTCGACCCCTTTTATATAGCACTCCGAAATTTAATTCCAAGTGAAAGATGGATTATAGGAATCCTGAATCTGATTCAAAGCAATGAACATGGCTAATTGCAAACGTTAACATTGGTGATGGAAACATTATGCTTTTGTACTGGCAGATTGCTTGCTAATATTAAATAAAGCTATAGCTTGATTGAATAATATGCTGATATAATGTTACAAATAGTTAAAAGCAAAAGTGTGTCTTATGTAATAACATTTTAACTGTCATTAGCCAGAACCGGAAGAGGAATGTGAAGTCACGTGTCCGAGAGGACCTCAGGGACGAAATGGTACTAAGGTATGTACGATATAGTTAACATTAAAACTATAATCCAAAACTAATCTAAGCTCTTGATTGACTTAACAAGATATGTATAGCAAGGTCATATAGATCTGGGAACCCATTTACCTGGCAATTTATGAAATAACTCAACACCAAAGAGAAATATACGCAGGCTCCTATTTTCGACCAGATTTACTTAAAATCATCTCCTTCAAATAAATAGTTGTCCGACGGTTTTGGTGGCATGGTTCTCCTTAAAATATGTCTGTAGGTTCTCGGTGTAAATGATGCCTAGTTGAAAAAAATGCGAATTTCCTTAATCTTTGTTATATTTTCTTAACAAGGGCTCAATGGGACCTCGAGGTATTCCAGGAGAACCGGGTATACCTGGTAATCCAGGTTCAAGAGGTGAAAGAGGATCACAAGGACCTCGTGGAGCTGATGGTATTGATGTAAGTGCTGATTCTAATTCACCTGTTCGTCAAACGCCAATTAGACTTTGCGAATCGTATTTACCAAATAAGTATGGATGTCACCTCAGTACAAAGTTTCTAGTTAAAGGAATTCGTTTTCAAGAAAAAGCCAATCTTTTTTTTCAAATATTTTCCTCGGAGTAATTGTATGTTTTAAAAATTGCAGGGTAGACCAGGAGTTCCAGGCGAACCAGGAGTGCCTGGTCGAGATGGCCGTCAAGTAAGTTGGACATTTCCGTTATCTCTTGTTTATGTACACTATGTTCATACCAGATGCTTTTGTTGCATTACCATTGAGCATCACATAAGTTAACAACCCAAGGTTTGTCGCGTCGCATTCAATGATGATACAAAAATAGACATGGATAAAGTTATAATATCAAAAGGAATTCTTTTGATTCAGGGTTCGAAAGGCGAAATTGGTCGATCCGGTAGAAGAGGTGGTAGCGGAACAAAGGTAGTATATCCATTGTGCCGTCTTTTGGTACCCATTTCCTTTCGTATTGCTTCAACTATTTCGGAAAAAACGAATGTGGTTTCGCTGGATCAGTAGTCGAAGACTCAGTAGGATATATCGGCAATGTTCATTTACTAGAGACATTTCGGTTCTCTGGAAAAGAGGGGGGGGAGGGGGGTTGTTCTCAAATGTACAGACCAAGGAAAGAACTGAGACGGGAAGTTGGTTTGTGAATATGCTACTATAATGATTTATTGTTTTAGGGTGAGCGAGGTATACCAGGATTACCAGGTCGCCCAGGAGAACCAGGGGCGAAGGTCAGTATCCACAATCATAAATCGTATATTTTCATCTGTTGATATAATATATAAAATGTATCTTTTTGTACATATTTTTATCAATTTTATTTAACATATTCCTTTGCTCTTAAGATATTCTGATTTGCACATTTTTCACCAGAACGGTCACTTTTAACTTTTGATATACCTCCACTTTAATTTATAATAGTCACAATCTGAAACCAGACTGTGGTTTTGGATTGCTGACTAAGGTCTAAACTTTCTGTCGATTCATCCCTTTTTCTCATTTCCTGTTACCATATTTTCCAGTATACTAACACAATTTTTTCTAAATTTGATGAAAACATTACATACTTGGTGTATTGTTGACTGTTTCCGGTAGTTTGGTATAACACTTAAATGGAATTTCTTATTATTCACATATGATTTGTATATATTTATCTTTTAGCCAATGTTAAAGATCTTCTCCCATTTTTCACATTAGGTGATGAATATGTTTTGGGATTTTATAGACGTAATCGCATACGTCTTAATGACAGTGAAATCAACTATTCAGTTAAAAAAGTGTTTTGAAGTAGATTTTAGGCATTCTCTAAAATTGCAATTGTTAGAAGAAACTGTCTGCAATCATATGACCCGAATATTTTTCGTCAAACACTAACTAGTGCGTTAAGGGCATCAAGACTCAGTTTCACTTTCGTAAAAGAAATTTGGTTATCTCTTTTTTTATTATATTAGACCCAAATATTAAACTCTTTCAGCATAGTAGTCACAAAGAATATTTACACATTGACAGAGATGGTCTCACGAATTTTAGCATGAAATGTCCTTTAACTCAAGACATGTTTAGACATGGAATTTTCTGAAATTCCACAGGGAATACTTAATACTAACTATCCCGTGGAATATAGGTCACATACATGTACATACAATAATGATTAGATACGTATTTGGTAGTGTCAACTATAGAAATACGTTGCACATTCATTCAGATGTTAGTGTCCTTAGTAATAGGCTAATAGGCTATGGTTTCGAAATGAAGGACCACATATTTAAATTACAGCTTACATATCTTTGGGACAGCACAGTGTATGATCAGTTACATTTTTGGCACAGCAGTCAACTGAGACAGCTCGATGTGATAACACGGATACCTGCTGGAATTAACAAACAATAGGGCTATGTTCTGCCATTTTACGGCTGCCCCCAAGATTCATAGTGGTAGTAGGTCACTAAGTTTTATTTTCAATCAACTTCTTGTTGGATGATTAAGGAACTGATTAACCTATCCTTGAACAATGTTTATTTGTATCATCTGTAGGGTGAAGGTGGTAATGATGGACGGCCTGGCGAACCAGGAAAACCAGGCGACATAGGAGAGGCAGTAAGTATGATCAACATAATTGAAGATTGAACACGTATTACAATTTTAAACATGTCGAGTTCGAAGTCATACTTTTCTAGGTCTCGATATGCTTACTTTACATGGTGAACCTTTCAATCAGTTGAATATCTATTTCCTATCGGCTCATTTGTTAATTATATTTATCACCAACGCCATGTTTTCAAGTTTAAGTATTCTGTTGTTAGCGATCATCAAAGTAATACTTCAATTCATTCAGAGAGACAACGTCATATTCATCTTTTAATCCGTTACAGATTATTGGTCCTGTCGGTCCGAAAGGTGACACTGGTGAACCTGGTCTTCGTGGTTTGGAGGTATGGTATATACTATTGAACACTAAAAAGGATTTCAGCATATCACAAAATCTGAACAAAATGGGAAAAAAACGACATTGACTTCAAGCAAAATATTTTCTTTTTTTCAAATATATTCACATTTGCTGAAGACATTTAACATTTCTCTATGCATATTGTTAGTCTCTTAATTGAACGAAATTATTCTAAAACTTTGAAATCTAATTCATACCAAGGTATGCTCCAAGGTAATGTAGACGGATAGTGGAAATAGATTTTTCTGAATATGAAAGAAATGAAATAAAATATCAATATATGTTTACAGGGCAGACGAGGGAGAGCGGGACCCCGTGGAGCTCCCGGTGAAACCCCACAGAAGGTATGGTAAAGCTGCACACTCAACTTACTAGTACGCTTATAAAACTAACTTGCTTATTCTCTTATTATATGCTGATATACGCAAACTGTATTAACTAATAAATTATTTTCAGTTAAACGATCTATTTGGACGATCTATATATATATATTTCCTTATGCGCCTGCTTTTTTGAGCGTCCACAGTGCTTATAGCTTTAACCCTAACGTTATAAACCAGCTGCTATCTGCTTTTTTGCTAGTAATAAGCTATTTTCCTAATCATGAATTCACGCATGTGACGCCGTATTCTTACAGTATAGGCGCTGCCTTTAAACCATGCTATATATTAAACTTTGTATCCATAAGCATGTCTAACGTTTCTTTTTCAGACAAACAGAATGCTTTCTGTTCGCTATATTAACAAAACACTTCATGAGGTCATTTTATTTTATGATCATATATTCACACATCCACCTATTCAATCATGCAATACTAACATTTTACTACCCATTTTTTCATTGAATAAATTGTCGCTGCTTTAAAAGTATATTATTCCTTCTGCATTTATTCATGATATATCATTATATGCATGGAATGGAACGTTTGTGTCATGTTTCTTATCAGCTAACATATAATTTTTTTCAGTCACAAAATTGTGGATCTACAATCAAACTTGATGTAAAACTCAATTTTAAATTTGGATTTTATCCCCCCCCCCCCCCTTCCAATATTAAATAAAAACTGGAAAAGGAATGATCAATTAATAAGGTTCTAAATAAATAAAAAATATTCTTGCTTTTCTATTAATCCATATACATTTTCATATATGTATATTAACTGTTTCCCACGACTTAATTTAATATGAAAGTATATGTTACAAGGGAGGTAACTCCTGTGTGCATATTTGATGATGGTGATGAAAAAAACATAAAATTGAAATTTGTTCTCTATCTGCCATTTTGAATTTTGATCATATGGAATAGAAGCATATTTTAGTGGCATAAACCTTAACTAATTAAATTTTTTCATTACTTTGCCAGGGAAATAAAGGTGAAGTAGGTACTACTGGAGAAAAGGGAGAGAGAGGTGCAAGAGTAAGTTACACACTTATTTCATTATCAAATTAGATACCACGATCATGGGGATTTTTTTATCTTCAACCCAATTAGCAAATTTGAGCTAAAATGTTCGTAGGTTAATGCATAGAACCTAACGTCCTACTTTACTAAATGGGTGACAAGTTCATCTCGAACGTATTTTTGATATGATATGATTAAATTATTTCAGGGGTTTACTGGTGGAGAAGGTCCTCCTGGTCCCCCTGGTTTGCCTGGAAGACCAGTAAGTAATTTTCAGTTTGTATTTAGAAAGTAAAAATGTTTTGGGATCATACAACGATGTGCCGATCAACTCCTTTGAAATAATTGAAACAGAAAAATGATAATCGAGGCAAATCATTAAAATGCACATCTTTAAATGGCAAATTTTTTAATGGCGTTATTTTGATACTATTTTAGGGTATTCCGGGAGAAACTGTTACCTCAAATAGGATAGAGCCACTTCCGGTAAGTACAAGACACAATTAATTAAATAAACTAATAAAATAATATATTTATGTCGTACACATGTTTTTCGGGTATTAAATCCTTCGTCTGCTTTGGATGAGTTTTGAAATAGGATATTTGATTTCAATGTGTTTTCTTTTATATGGTATTTCACTTTCTTTTTTTGTCAACTTAAACTTCATATTTTCTTCGGTATGCATATAATTTACCATAACATCTGTTGCAGATTGGTCCACAAGGTTCTGAAGGTCCAGAGGGTCCGCCAGGCAAAACAGGTCCCAAGGTAAGATGAGGCGTGACCTGAAATCACGAGCGTAGCGACTAGATTGCCTTAATCCTTGGCTACCAATAATAGAACCAATAACTAAGGTTGCAAGTGATATATAGTTCTTCCGGTATAAGTAAATGGCTTAATGCTTTATCCAAAAATATTCATATCGATGGGATGGAACTTCACCGTAATGTGACTATACCGAGGGAACCTTAAACAAATTACGATCCTTGGTCGTGTTGCACCATATATTTGACACATTTCACAGCATTATTATATCATATTGAAAAGAAATACGATTTTGTTGATTTGCGATATTCTATAAATCTGGCATAATATACATTGCGGACGTGAACTAATTCGACAATTAACACCTGAATATTTTGTTATTTAGGGCCAGAAAGGTGAAAGGGGTACATTAGGAAGGAAGGGACTGAAGGTAAGATATCTTGATGTACAGTGTCGTCAACGCATAAGGTTTTTTACAAATCGATTGCCACGCATATATTATGTAGATATAAGAACGTGAGTAATATCCATTGCCATGGTTGGCATAATTTTACAACACGACCTACACAACAGACAAACAAATAGTGTTTATTATAATTTGTAAAAGCTTAGGAAAGGAATTACGAAACGAAAATTAATCTAAGTAATGGAATGTTAGATCCTTTAAATGAACAAAAATACACTTAATAGATGTTAACATCTTTTTTTTTTTTTTTTTTTTGGTTTTTGCTTTGATGAATTTCTGCAATTTTACAGGGTGACAAGGGTGAAACTGGAGGACAAGGTCTTTCTGGTTCCGATGGTATACAGGTGAGTGTTTTTATTTTTTGGATTTTGGACGATGCTTCCAGCTATTTTGAGCATATCCGTTACCACCTTCGAACAATTAACGAAACAAATAAAGAGTCACCAAGATGCAATTTCAAATGTGCCAAAATGATGTGGAAATGTTACGTGTTTGACATGCTCCCGTCATTTCATCTTATTTTCACTGTCTATATCTTAATCGCGATTGGGGCTCTGGTATATTTTTCAGGGGCCAGAAGGTGAAGCTGGACGAACTGGTTCTAAAGGAGACAAAGGATCTCGCGTAAGTGCTGCTTGTGCTTCGTTAATGAAACTAGTTTAACATTTTGTGCAGTGTTAATGAATTTCTGTTTCATGTACATCACTCTGAACCTTCATCTTATTCACTCAGCAACCCAGCGAGGTAGCGATAAAGCGTTCAAACCAAACTGCATCAGTAATATTCACCTTTTGTATTACAACCAAATCTAGTGGAATTTAAGCAGAAAATTCCTGAACAAAGTGAGCTTTTATGAGTTGATAAAGACGTAGGGTTTCACAAAATGGCAATTATTCGCTGAAAGCAATCAGCTTTTATCTTACACCTATTCATCTTCCTTTATCACATTTGTCCCTAATCTCAAAGATTTTGTTATAGGGTCAAGATGGACGGCGAGGTCAGCGCGGCGCACCGGGTAGCCAAGGTCCGACGGTAAGTGGCGTTGGAAACATTTTCAGGCTGCAATATATTTACACTAGACTTTCATCAAAAGCGGGTGGAGGATGAAATGTGCTTTCCAGATGGTGGCTCAGATATTCTTAAATGCCGTCGATTTTTGAACATTATTTTGACAATTTTGCAAGATGCTTAGCTGAGAAGGTTTCATTGTCCACACATAGCAGGGTCGAAAAAAGATTCAGATGCTCTCCGGCTGCATTGCAGATCGATCTTAATCATAAATACTGATTTAATGTAGTGCTCTATCATTTAATAACATATAATATAACATTATTTAGGGACGAACTGGAGATCCTGGTAAAACTGGAAGTAAAGGAGATTCTGGTGCAAGGGTAGGTTTAGTCAAAATATAGCGAGAATAAATGCTTTTATAATCAGTTGCCAAAAGCAGTTACTTAGCTTAGATAAATGCTTTTATAACCACTTATCTCTCCGGTTTTATAGTGCTGATTTTTATATCCAGCTTCTTGCTTTTGGTGGCTTTTATTGCCCTTTTGATGAATTCTAAAATGCTAATGACCCCTTTCTATTCTGTATATCTGATTAGTTCATTAAATTTATTTTGAACCAATTAAACTAATTATTGTTCTTTCAAAATTCTTTAAAGTTTTCAGTAAAAATACTTCGGAATTAACATAAATGAGTATACGACTGTCAACAAATTTCAGAGTAATCAAAATATATAGATATCAAGATATATGATTAATATGAATTGTTGAAGTTTAAAGACATTATTATGGATCTAAAATAACTATGCAGTTGTTTTTTGCTCATGATATTTGCCAAACGAAAAATTCTCAGCTATTATTCAAATTTTAATTGCTTTCTAGGCTTCCCTTTGCTTTGGCGATCATTTTATGTGCATGCAAGTTTATTATTTATTTTTCTAGCATTAACAATTTATTTAATTTTGTCCTATCTTGTCTAATGTACGAATATAATTTGTCTGTTGCAATTACTATTATTTGGATTTTGTGCTTTGTATGTAAGTAAAAAATACCTTTGGTTCGATAAATCCTGAGCGCTATGTTACTCTGTATTCCATGTAAGTAAAAATTACCTTTGTTCCAAGAGGTCATTTTCCAACTCCAGATCTAGAAAGGGTTAAATTTGAGCCCAACAGTTAGAGAGCGTTGCTCGATTTGCAATTTCCTTTCGGAACGTCTGAATCAATACCAAATTCGTTCCAAAGAGAAATCGTTGGTCATAATCGTGTTGTGCTTAAGAATGAAAGGCCTATTTAACTGGCATACATAGGATCTGCCCGAGGTCTGTCATCTCTGTATCTATTTTGGAAAATTTACATTATGAACACTTAAAATATTTGTTTGGTAGGCTCATTGAAGTTGGTAAAAGTCAAATTTGAAAGTAACATTTGTCTCCCTTGATATTTTTCAGGGCCCACCTGGACCGCCTGGTAATCCTGGATTAGGATCAGCGAAGGGACAACTGGTATGGGGTGAATTCATACAACAGTTCCAAGTACTACTCCAATTGATTTTTATGCATGAATCGCACAAAATAACTCACCCCAGCACATTATTAGTTTTTAGTGTCCCCAAACCACACAAATCCTTTAATACTTGACCATTTACCAAACGTTCACGCCTAGCTTGGGTCGGTAATTATTATTATTATTATTATTATTATTATTATTATTATTATTATTATATCATGACTAAAACAGCGCCAGGGTCCAATTTGATTATATGGTTTTCTGTATTATTATAGTACTGTATATTTTTTAGATGTGCTTTTCTGTTTTCTGGGTAGAACATTTCTAGCGCCAAAAATTAGGTATTTCGAATTTATTTTAGATTAGATTCTTACTAATTACTGCGGAATGGCTATTGAATGTCCCGTAGAGCAAATCTCTCAAAATTGTTTCCAAAATGTTCCACTTTCCTCTGATAGATTTAGCGAACGCTCGGTCTTTTGTTTTACAGATTTTTCATTGTGAACATATCAAGCACGAAAATCATGGGAGTAGTACTTGATTTTATATCATGGCGGATGTGTTCTACAGCGCATGCGCGGACGAAAGAGATTCCCGATTGAGGGATATTTTGATAGAATTTACGGAAATGGTCAATAAAGTTTGTACCCATTACTGTAAATTTTGTCAAACGATCCGTGCTCAAGGAGGACACGTCTCTTAAAAGGCGCACTTCGCTCTAAGACCTTCCCCGTATATGATACATTTTATTCTGTCATCATTTTGATATAATCATTTCAATATAAACATTACAGAATCATTACAAATAGCCATTTATTTATGTTAAACGGTAGCTTTAAGGTGAGTGTTGGAATGCTTTAAAGTATTGCTGTAACAAGCTGTCGAAGGGATAAATTACATTTGAGCTCTTTTAGCTAATTGAGGAAAGTTCCCACAAATCCACATTAATGTACAATTTATTCGTAGTCCCCGAAATGTCCCAAATTTTCCTGTCATTCGCATGAAAAATCAACTTCAAATCTATACTAGATTCTCAAGTTACCTCCCTTTCATCCACGCTTTCATTTCAGTTATAGAACCATTACCTATATCACGTAATCATAGAGCATCATTGTGTTTAGTTACTAGACAGCACATTGAATCTTGTGTACATGTGTATGTGTACCTGCATTATGTGCTTGTCACATAGTTGATGTGCTTATCACACTTTTTCATATAGGCACATTACAGATTTTCGCTATCTAGTAGCCTCTTTTTTGAACAGTCATTTCATCTGATTTGCTTTTTGATAATTCGCCGGCGCTTGTTTCATGTGCTTTACAAACTTTTTGTTTGTGATTATCAGTTCCCTTTTATGCAAAAAATAATGATCATTATTAGAATTAATGAGTTCGTAACAAGCACCACGTACTAACATTATAATCTTCACAAATTGGAGCAAGAAGATAAAAGCATAGTCAATAAGATGTTGGTTTTCATTGTAGGGTCCTCCTGGACTACCAGGACCTCGTGGTCCACCTGGCGTTAAAGGGGACAAGGTAAGAAATCCTGATCTATCTTTTCTAACCAATCGATTTACATTGTACGGCAATTTATTTGCCCATTTTTCATTTCATTTCGTTATATTGCACTTTCCTATATGTCGCATTTATTAGAATTTTTGACATGGCAGTGTACATGTTCTGCACGCCATGGAACAATCTTTAATCGAACATCACTTTTCTTGTAGGGTCTAGCTGGTTTAGCAGGAACTCCTGGTAATAATGGTGCTCCAGGACGTCCGGTATGTATCCCAATACTTGGTATTGCAGTACGAGCACATGAGATCTATCTGTACATGGTTGAACTACATTTTACTTTTGTAGTGACCTTTACTATATGATGTCGGATAAAAACTGTGGTTTATACTTTTAATGATGTTCATGTCTTGATTTTATTTTAGGGTATACCTGGTCCTGCTGGAGAGATTGGGGCAACTGGTGAACCGGTGAGTAATTTTTTACTTTGAATAATTGTATACATTTAGACAAAACTCACTTAATATTGGATACCATTGACCAACACATTGTTTCAGTCAAGAAAGAGCAGCGTTATTATGATGTTTGTCACAAGGAGTGCAAAATCAACACTGAAGGAAGATTGCGTTGCATCCCTTAAAGAGAAAGTTATAAGAACACATCAACAGCAGCTTATTGTTCCCATCCGAACTTATATAAAATCCTTAATATGCCCTTCCCTTGACAATGTGCGTACATGGGAAATATCTCAACGGCTTACATATGATCACTATTTGTCACATGGTAATAAAAGCGTGTATATTATGTTAATTCGGTTGAGCAACCGAGATGTTCTTGAAGCCAAAAGTACGGAGCTTTACTACCTATCTTTCTGCACCTGATTGGGCTAATGAAGACTGGCAACGCTTATATGTAACTGATAAGTATAAAAGGATTGTATTTCATTTTAGGGACAAAATGGTGAACGTGGTAAAATTGGACCTCGAGGTGACCCTGGTTTACCCGTAAGTAAACCTTTGGTATTCATTTTATTTCGTGTTATGTTCACTTTACAGTCAGATTGAAAAAATATACGTGGTCTTTGCGTTCCAATTACAGTCGGGGAGAAGGTTCAGAATTCGTCTTAACTGCTCCAAAGAAGCCACAAAAGTACATTTTTATGATTGCGTTTCGATATGATTATGGTAAAACACATTTTGGAAACGCTGAGGATACGACGGTGAAACATTTCAACGTTATGGTTCTGCAAAATTTGGATGCAAATTTTAACTTCAAACACAAAAGAAAGTCCTTGTATACTTATATGGGAAGCAGTTGGTTGTAAATAACGAGAATATCGAGTTGTGAACGCAACGGTGAGATGTGATAAACGTCGCACAACATTACTAAAGTAACATGGTTGAACTAATTTTCCACATGGAACGTTATATTTGCATGTAAATCTACTGCATTTCAGAATGAAACTTTAACCTTGTTATGAATGCAGATTAACCCCTTTTCAACAAGCTTTTCGTCTCAAATTACGTTATAATGCATTGACAAGAAAAAACCACAAAGAAAAACATTAAAAAAGAAATAAGTGTCAATTTCAGAAAACAGAAACTTTTAAGTGTTTCCATATGAATACTATTTTGTTGGATGTGGTTGATTGAAATGAACATTATGTTAGTTTTACAAGCTGTCATAATCTGCTATTATCATTATGTTTCTGGTGGGAGGGTTTTCCAAACAACCAACCCGGTGTTGTCCCACGAAATAGATATGATAACCGAGAATACGAAATTATTATCAGTGTAAAATTCAGACATGAAATGTCTATCATGATGAAAAAAAAATATGTAAACCGTATTGATAAGGCGATGATTTTGTTTCTCGCTGTGTAGGTAAAATCATACTTTTATAGATTTCTCGATGTTAAAATTCTGACTTCATTCTGCCTCCGGATCACTGGTTGATATTGGTTTGGTAAGTTGTAAAACAAACCCGCCTTTATTTTCCGATGTAATATATCATAGAAACATGACGTCAGTTTACTTTTTTACTCTATTTTATACTCATTATGGTTTACTTTTCGACTTCTAATAGTACTTAGAGCCATTAGTATCGTCATAACATAAACCAGTGACAATTTCATATCCAGAGCAAGTTTTTTTTTGGCCGTATTTCTATTAAGTTTATGGCCCGATTGAAACATTTTACGTCATTTTTGCGGGGTTAGAATGCATACATAATTTAAATTTTGAATTGAGATATTTTCAAAAAGTACAAGGTATGGAAGAGCTGAGGAGTAATTGAGCATGGCTTTCTTTTATCATAATTCTTTAGAAATTTCTATTCAGAAATAATGACGAAAAAATATATTTGAATGATACAATTTAAACCCTTTCCCTAATAGGTACGGAAATTTAACGTAATGAAGAGTAGAGATCTAATGTCAAATTTGGTACGAAAATACAATTTGGTCGAAAAGTTAGCGAAGAATGAAAGTGAATTGAATCAAAAAGGTTTTTTTCATGAAAACATGAGACGTGAATATCAAATGGGTACAAAATGTAATTTTGTCAATTTTTCGTCAAGAAGAATCCAAATTATCTATACGTATAAAACTGAAGAAACGAATGGAAGAAGTGCTCTTATGGAAACAGGTGCACGCGAAATATTGTATCGACAAAATAACTGTCCGAATCTCTTTTTATTTGATGTATCTACTTCTGATTTTTTTCTGTTTGTAGGGAACAGCTGGAATTGCTGGTTCGCCAGGGCTACCAGGACAAAATGGCGTCAAGGTAATGTCAGAAATCTCTCATCTTATCTTAGCATTTTCACAGAAAGAACTGGTATTTTTTGTCCAGTGTTATCAACTTATGATAATAATGAAGGTTACATGCGGATAAAGGAAGAACTCAAGTAATTGGATCTATGCAAAGTAATATGCATTATGGTTTGGGATTTAGTAGGCATAGGCACTCATTAGATAACTATCAAGTGCATTAGTCTAGACTCTAAAATGCATTCACTTGAATAGGTAAAATTTCCTCATTATTTCAGTCTACCAGTGAATTAAAATCAAAATTAGGTGAATTTTAAAAGGATCCCAAATCAGCTGTGAGACCGGATCCCCACACACCTATGCTCTTATGAATGTTTTTGTCTTTTGTTTATATGAAAAAAGATACAAATATGGTTTATCTGGCTGTCATTTTGGTCATTGAATTTATTTTGATAAAAAAAAAATCGCGAACTGCTAACATATATTATTTTATAATTTCACGTTAGCTTTAATAACCAGCGTTTTATTTACAAATTGCATCCTAAGATTTTCTTAAATCTACGCCCCGTGATCAATTTTGTCTAATTGGAATATCTCTGTATGTTATATAGATCTTGAAGTATATATATGTCACATATTTCTGTTCATAACATCTAACTTTAAAAATTATTTTAAAAATATTCCACATCTCTGGCGTTAAGAACATGATAATAAAAAAAAACTTTTTAAAAGGCGGGGTTTATGTGAATTTAATGATGCGTTTATAGCATTCGAAGTTTTGCTGACGAAAGTTTCTTACAATAAGAACTCGGTGTACCATTAAGAAAAGTTGAGTTTTAAATCTGACTAGAAAATCATAAATATTATTTAATTTACGAAAAAAAACGTGTTAGTGGTTTTTCTTTTACAAATTGGGACACGTTTTAAGTGTTTTGTTTTCATAAAAAGGTGTTTATAAAGTGGACAAATTTGAGTGATTCAAAAATTTTGGAATTTAAGCCCCGAATAATAAATGACAAAGGAAGCGTTGATAAAAATACTGGGACTAATTAAAATTCCGTTCACCATCAGGCGATTACAGGAATTTAATTAATTGATGAAGTGATAAATATGATATTCCTGATTTTGAACATGATATTTCAATATTTATGATCGTGCAGTTGGTTTTGATTGAATTAGACATATGGTAAATAAACCGAACTTGTAGATAGATATATGGTATTTACATGTATAAACATCTGTAAATAGGAACGTATATTAGGGAGAAAACGTCTGAAAATCAGTTCCATATCGAATACAGTTATCCTGAAAACATGAAATTGTTTTATTGGAGTATGTACCACGTGCTTCTTTCTCTCTAGATAGTTGATTTTGTCTTCATAATTAGCATCAATTTTGTGTAATATGTTCTACTTATTTTGCTTCATATAACTGTTATATATCGCGTGCAGTTTCAAAACAACACTATAAAGTCAGTGAAGAACTTTTTCTCAGACCTGTTTCATTGAGAGAAAAAGGGAAATTGGCGGAGGATTTTCTTTGATCACGAAAGATCATGAATAACAGAATGATCGATCAAGCCGGATAAACCATGATTTCTAGCTCCTATATGAAATCATTCCTTGTTATATTATTAAGTGCAATCTGTGATATATGTATAGCTCAATATGATTATCATGTTCAATATGTTTATTGGAAGGGTGAAACCGGTGATAGAGGTGTTCCAGGAACCCCAGGACCTCCAGGAAATGACGGACGAGTGGTAAGTAACCCTTTTCTTTTAAAAACATTAGCAATTGACCCTTTGAACTGCAATAAATCATAGACATTAGCTAGCAAATGAAATCAAGGGAACGCATGGGTGTAAGGAAGTAAGTCGTACACATGTTTGTGCCACAATGAATTTGTTTATTTCTCTGCAGCTCTTAGATACAATATCTTAGTGTTTAAATGGCTATGTTTTGGTAGTAACTACGTGACCTACTGTCAGTGACAAAACCCCGACTGTTTTCTCATCAAGATAACAATAATTTTATCGCTTCGTTTGATGTTTGAACCGAAGATCTTCGTGTATATGTAGCTAAAAGTCAGTGTTGTTTTCTTACCGTTTGTAAAACACATTTATTTGACGATCTGATGTTCTCTCCTACGCCACGTGGAATTTACGATAACCAACTACCGGCATAGACCATAATTCATTGCAGCAGCCAACTGTTACTGGCTAATCTTGTATATGACATCACAGAAAAATACTTGTTCACACCAAATGAAATTTGAAACATATGAGAATGTCATTTTGAAATTTTTTTATGTCTTCAAGTCATTTAAACATTTGGAGTATATATTTACTGATGACCTTGAAAAATAATGAAGAGCGTTAGAAATTTGTAAGGGAGTTAATTATTGTCGTATATATTTCGAAACGAAGGATTATTTCGAAGTTACCATCAGTGATTCTTGGTATCTGTTGAGATTCAAGAGGTGCTCTTAATCTAAAATGTTTTTGACTAACTTACGGAAAGAAATTTTATTTGATCTTGAAATTTCGACACATAATTCCGGCCATGTTTTATTGATGTTATGATAACGACATTAATAATGTATCTTGAACCATTCCGAAGACAGATTGGTAAAGCGACGGCAATATACGATCAAGTGGGCGTTTTAACTGTAGCATTTGGCCTGTTAATGAATTCATCAAAAGATTTATTTGTAATTTATAATTTTTCCTATCGCTTCGTTTATCTTGATTTATTAAGATATGTACTGTCTGACCAACAGATTTTGATTACGTTTATTTTGAACATCTTAATAATCATAGATTACCCTGATAAGATATAGTTTAAGGAACTGTTTCAGTTCGGATTTGAAACATGGGAACCAAACAAAATGCGTCAAGTACCTCTTCCTCTCGTCCCCACTATTATTGTCTTGGCAGAACAAAGGCGAAAAATATTTGGGCTAAACATTGGTAGTCGCAAGTCCTAAGACATGAACGATATTCCCATTCAAAAGTTTTGAGCACCTCTACCCATGTTTTGAAACATAATTCATGTATTAACCGTAAGCTAATTATAAAGACTTAAACAGCCTTTTGTCTGGAGACTTAAACTTGAGCCAGTATAGTTTACAACTAAAAGATACATCTCAGGCAAAATGTATTTATGTTCAGTGTGGTCGACAATATTTAGAACAGTGGGAAATTTAAGTATGATCATCAACAAAGAGATAACACTTAATGTACAACCCTGCATGACTCCTTCGTTGTCGATTTGATAGTATTCTGTTGCATACACCGCCTGATATAAATAAATATAAAGGACAGATAACAAATGACACTGCTATTTTCCTTTTGTAAACATGTTTAACGACACCCAACTTTGTTTCAAATTCTCACAATATATCATTGATAATACCATTATGTAATCGTCAATTTCACTATATAACGCGTTATGCTGTATCACATAAAACGGAAAATTGTAAAACCTAGGCATATTAATTAGTGCTGGCACGATATATCGGTGAATAGATGTATCGCGATACGACATGCGACGATACGCATATCGTATCGCGACGTCGTGTATCGATACTTTTTATAAGTTGGTTTAGGTAATAACAATTTTTTTTTCACTGAAATTGTAAGAAACTTTTTATAAGACAGTGGACGCTAAGCACTTCTATCAACCATATTACCAAATATCACAGTTATAAAGTTATGAATTAATATACATAGAAACTTAAAGATAAAATGCTAATTTTTATCCCTTTAACTCACATCTCACCCTTGTAACATGAAACGTATCGTATCGTGACATGATTGACGATACCCAGCACTGATATTAATGTTGCGCAAGCCATTTTAACATTAAATTAGGTCTAATAGTGATTTACTAGAAATAACCAAAACAAAACATATATTCAAATGAATTCATGCACATTCTCACAGTTAAAGTTATTCATTTTGTTCACAAGTGATACCTCCCCTGGTCTTAATTAAACCAATTTGTGGCAAGACACCCTCGATATTTTACAAGCTGTGCTCTAATTAATATTTCTGTATGTCTTGTATTTCCGGCAAATATTTTAACACAACATTCGCTATCAAAATTACCAGACATTTGACAAATCGTGCCATCTGTATGCAATTTCCTCACTTCTGTAATTTCAAATAATTTTGATGTCGTATTATTCGAATAGCTTCACCCTCTTTACACTGAAAGATGCTAATGCAAGACTTGATGGATCAAATCAATTGCTTGCTATATACTACATAGTTTTTTGATATGTTGGAACAGCTATTTGAAAAAACATGTTTAAAAAAATTGTTTTTTCGTCATTTTATATCTTTCAAGGCCAATGTTGTTTAGATAGTTTGTATCGAAGAGGTATTTGCATAACTCATCTTGTTCACTCTTTGAAAATATGCCGCCCTACTATTAAACTGTCGGCAACATACGACTGTATCATATCGACTTTCATAAGTAGGTTCGCCATCCGTTGGACCAATCGTATTTAAGTCTCAGAAATGGGATTGTTTTTTTAGCAATCGTGTTGTTAGCTCAAATCCATGTGTGTCCAGAATTATTCGCGGTTGAAAGTTAAAATGACGACTCTTAGTATGAGGTTTTTGTGAAGAAATTATGCGATATATGTACATTTCTAGTACTTCTGAAAACTATTTACATATATTCAAGACCCAAATCAAACCCCGAAAAGGGCCAAACTCTCCCTTTAAGAAACACAATGGCATTGCCCCATCCTGTAATCTAACAGTCACCAAACTAAAAATCTGAATAAAGGAAACAAGTGCTTTAATTATCAAACACCTTAAGTACCAATAAGTTTGGTATAATTACTAGCACCCGGTTAAAATACAACAAGGTTACTTATTGAAATACAAGCCTTCTGTTTGATCTTAACCAAGCTTATCATGTCATATCTAGATCATTTTAACTTACATGGGTCAGGTCATGGCTATAGATGGGCTAACTTGACCTCGAGTATATTGAAATAGCAGGCTGCCGTGTTTCTAGGCAGAGTTTAGTAAATTCGCAGGGTTAACTTTCAATAACACTCTCAATGTACCTGAAAGGAAACACGCATTATGCATTAGAAGGCATGTGGTCTCCTTTTTGAAATTCCAGCTACATGCACCACTTTTCAAGAAAAAAATGAAATGAATGGAGATTTACGTCCTACTTTTCCTAATTTTGCCAGGACAGCGGCATTAGCCTGCTCTTTATTCGATTTCCAACTGTCGATCGATCTTTAACTGCCACTTTTCAAAAAAGCAAATATTACTGGGTAAAGAATTAAAGGTCTGCAAATTAAGGAAAAACTTTGTAGTGACTTTAGAAGGATAATGATAATGAAACTCAGATTATCGCCGCATTCATGTATAAAAGACGTTTGTTCGCCATTTTCGGCGGTTGATTTGGGACTGTCTATTTCTATAAATGTCTTTTCTATTATGGCGAAATCTCAAGAAAAGACGAATCGTCCTATTATCTTTCAAACGTGGATAATCTTGGACACACAAGGATGTGCAGGCTCAAATTTTGACGGTGAGTTGTGAACACTTAATTTAATTCGCCTATTGAAAAAATTCTCGTTTCTGAGACTAAGATACGATTGGTCAAGCGGATGCTGAATATATCCGTTTAAATAAACAGAACATAACGTCAGGTGTTCATTCTGAAAAGGGATACGTTTAATTAAACTTAAGTTTTATCACAGTTAAAGCAAATATTTAGACGAATGTGTATCTGTAGTTAAGACGACCTAGTTTAGATTTCATATAATAGCAAACAGTTACACTGAAAGTTCTTACTAATGAAAGGAATTTGTTAATAATTGGGTTCCTGGAGAGACACTGGTAACAGATAGTACTACTACCATATCATATTACAAACACGACTGGAAAACTTTTATGTTGAATTCAAAAGTTTATACTTAGTTACATGGTAAACGTCTATGGTTTTAATTCCGTGTTAACACCATACATGCTTAAGAAATTTCATGGAAATTCACAGTAAAAATTGCACAGAGTATTCAGAAGTATTGGAGTTTCGAATTTCTAAAAGACAAAAGACAATTTTTTAGGCAAGCCTTGAAAAGAAGTGCCTTATCTTTCCTCGGACACCTTTCTAAAAACACCCGACAATAGTCCAAGATGACCAGAATGTTTTTTTTATTCTGATGACAGTTTGTAACTTCGCACTCATCTAGTTCTTTGCGAGAGCATCATTTTGCAAAGACAGGTTCGCACTGACGGTGCAAGGAGCAAACATTTACACATGAAAAACTCTGTTTGCAATTTTGTAACAGATTTGTATGTCGATTGTGCTTTTGATTCATTAGTATTTGTTCTAATGGTGAATAAGTTTAAGTGTGGTAGAATGTGTAATAACCCAATTTATTACCAAACATGGTAAGTCCATTACGTATTTCGTTTATGCTGTAAGCTTAAATGAATTTGACAATAATTGCTTGGTAGCAGTAAATACTCTCTTACATGACAGCTCTGATGGTGAGAATTGTATCCGGTATTTTCTATCAAACATTAGAGCCTGTACAGTATGTACTAAATGGTATGAACAATTTTACCCATTGATACGAAGTGTAACACTGTATATTTGCTTATCAACCCCATATTCAATAGGGAATAGCCATTGTCTTTTTATTCAATAAGTATAATTGTTTATAGAACGGGATAGTGCCTGGCACATTCAAACACTACCAATAATCAGTGAAAAAGTAACTAATTACCACACAAATTAATGGTCATCATCCTTACTTTAAACCTTAACCATCACAAGAAAAAAATGAATGGAGTTTACGTCCTACTTTTCTTCACCATGTGAGCTAATAAAGACGGGCAACGCCATGCAGGGAAATTTTGCCAGGACAGTGGCATTAGCCTACTCTTTTTCGATTTCCAACTGTTGAGGGATCTTTAACGTGCACAGCCTGTAGCACACGACGTCTCGGTTTATTGTCCCATCCCAACGACTAGACGTTTTTTCCATGTCAGCCCCACTTACCTGCAGCACTGGGAGGAAACTGGATTGAAAATTCCGAATGTATTAGCTCGACCTATGCCGGGATTAAACCTTGGACCTTCAGGTTAGCGAGCAAGCGTCTAACTCATTGTGCCTCCGCGGCTCCCGAACCATCACAAGAGCTAAATGGGAAGACAGGAATGAACCTGTTGACGGACCAACAGAAAATACTACTAAAAGCAACATGCTTTAGCTCAAATTCAAATCAAATCTTGATGAATGAAACGTTTAACAGCGTCAAGGATAATAGTAAGTCGAAAAATCATCATTTGCGAATACGTACTAATTCAAGCATATCAACATAAGAAACTCAGACATATTTTTACTAACACTACGTTACTATGTTTATAAAAGGGGATGTAAAGAAAAGGATTTCTAAAAATTTGTTGCTTATTGGGGACACTGATAGCATCAATGTGCACCATTCCTATTTCCAATCAGACGTCTGTGGTCCCTGCAATTCCACTAAAACTAAGTGTTTGAAGACTTCACTAATTGGTGCACCATTCCTATTTCAAATCAGACGTCTGTGGTTCCTGCAATTCCACTAAAACTAAGTGACTAAGAAGACTTCACTAATTGGAAAAGGCTTACATTTAGTAGAATTGCTAAAACCACAGAAAATCAATTTACATTTTTTCAAAAAGAGTCATCCAAAGCGGATGAAAACTTAAGCATACTTTGCAAAAACAAATGTTAGACCTACCGAAACGTTTTATGTGAGTACATAAAATAATACCGACGGTGCATCGGGTTTTTTTTTTCGAAATGAAACATATTTGCACTACGAAACTGAATGCATAGCCACTAAAAATATATGATTTATCAGATAATCAGCAACATTATAGTGTGTGTTCATTTTTATAATCGTTTACACCAAACATTTGAGAGGCGTGGAATTTATACAATGCTCGTAGGCAGAAGAATTTATATTTGAAAACATAGATGTCTGACAAAGATAAATTTTATAACAAGATATAAATAGGAGAAAAATTAAGACAAAACTTATCATCTGAATATTCGAGAATATTGCATATTGCCTTCTTTCTGGTATGTACAATGTGAACTTGCATTGCCAATACGCTTCTTAGAAAGTCAACTTTAGAGTCGTTGTGGTTTGACCACAAACGACAAATTCTAATATTTTGACGAAATAAATGAATGAAACAGATGAATTTGGAATGCATTCATTTTGATCAACGTTATGGCTTGATGACCAAGTGGTAATTGGACGCGATATAAATTGTATTTTCATATAGTTATTTGTGGTAGCATTTTCGTCAGACATTCACTTGTGATAAAGACACAGAATAACAATATTAGCCATAGAAACCACAAGGTTGTTTTGATTGTATAGCTAATATCAATATATCTAATTACCAACTTTCTATTTCAGGGACCACAAGGACCTATTGGACCACCTGGTATGCTGGGACCTGTTGGAATACCAGGTTCACCAGGACCTCCAGTAAGTATGTCTCTGTTATAAATTACAAAAAAAAAAATAACAATTAGTACAGTTGCCGAAATTTGATTGGATATTTCAATAAATTGGTTTTGTTGATGAAGGAAGGTAAAACGATCAACAGAATTACTCTTGTTAACATTGCATCGAATAAAAAAAATATAAATATGTCGAACCTGCTGCGAATACATTTAACCATGTAAAGATGAACGTGAATAACTTTAAAAACATGTTATTTTGAAATAGGATACTTCTTTAGTTCACAAAGGTTCCTGTCATCATGGTTTAGAATGGGGGAAAATTCCTTGTTGAGCTTGTGAATGAAATGCAACTAATGGTTTTCTCAGATTTGTTTCAATCATTTTCTGATGGAATTTCAAATTTGTTGAATCAGTAAAATTATCGAAATTCTTTTCTGTGAGTGTAAACGTATCATTTATGACGAAATTATAACAGTAAATAGACAATTTTTAACTCTAAAAACCTTAAAAGGACTGTCAGAAATGTAGTACACGTATAACATTCTGCAGCAAAAGCCTAACGACCTTATTCATAAAAACATTAACGGACCTAGGATTTCTACATGCAATCAATTCGAACTATTTACAAATAGTTTTAACAAAGCAAAGCCTGACAAACTGACAATTGTGATTAATCTTATCAGTCGCTGGATTCGTCCAAAGCGCCGTCTAAACCAGTTGCCTTCATTTGGTCCTGGTCGGCAACCATTATAGTAGATTATCGTTGCTAGTATTTCGTGTTATTTCTCGATAGGGAGGTTTCGAACATGTCTTCAGAAGGATGTTTTGCGTCACTAGTTGACCGGATAAACTTTGAGTATGAAAAAAGGTCTTTTTCTATATTGTTCTGTATTTTCTCATGGTGCACTATTGTACTGCCTTTATCACTAATTTTTTCGTACATTTCAGGGACCACCTGGCCCACCGGGAGAAAAAGGAATTACGGTTTGTATTATCTTTTACAAAACAGTATGATTTTATCAAATTCTGACCCTGAAAGTCTTTTGAAATCATTGAAACTGCTTTTCAGGAATTTTTGTTCCGCGCTGAATACTAATAGATATAACATTTAAGAAAGGGTGCAAATTTCATTATTATGTATGTGTTACTACACTGTAACAAATAGGTCAAGGTCTAACCGTCACTCCCTTAATAATCACCTTCAACCGCAACACTAGGTATCACGTTACGGTATCTGTGAAAAATTGTGCAATGGTTACTCAGTGCACAAAGTATTCTTGGCTTCAACTATATCGGTAACATGGATGACCGGGATTCGGGCATGATCAATGTATGACTGAAATAGTACCTTGGGATTGGTAACCTGGTCCATGTACGTAACCTGAAAGTCTAGGATGACCATATATGAGTTAGTACTTTTGGATCGGTAACCTGTATGTTCGGAATGATCCATGTATAATTTTGATGGTACTATCGTACATGGATGTCAAGGACGATCTAATGTATCACATTTGGATAGTAAATTAGGATCGATAACCAAGATTCCTTGGTCAAAAGCTGTGCACGTAAATATATATATGAGTAAGTTGGATACATGAAAAGCTTTAACGAATTGTTCTCGCTGTCCTGGCAATAATTTCTAAAGACTATTCATTACATTTCATTTTTCCAGGGTACTGTTTATCCGACGGGCAATGGACAGCGTGGACCACTTGGACCAGCCGTAAGTTCACTTTTTAAATAAAAAATCTGAATATGTAATTGTAAATGCTATCAGAAAGGAAAAGTTTACTGAAACAATCGCAAAGTCGCTGTTCTAAAGTCGCTGTTCTAAAAGGTTACAATCATACGGCACGGAATTATACGATAGAAATCACACATTGATGTTTTCACGTTTGTTTTCAGGGACCACACGGACCTTCTGGTGCACCGGGTATGGTAAGTATAATACCTATTGTATTATGAACAGAGGATGACCAGTTCAGCTCGTGTTTAGTCATAAGTTACAATGGACTCTTTTGAATTGTGTCACAACCAAGCCTGTATGAAAAATAATGTCAAAGATAACATATTGTGCTTGATATCTGGCGAATATCAAAATGAATCAAGACACTATGACCTGTTAAAGTATTAATATACTAATTTTCCCATTTGTATTTTAGCCTGGGGAGCGAGGTGCTCCGGGTGAAAGAGGACCTGCTGGAGGACAAGGTGTACCAGGAGTACCAGGGTTACCAGGGCCGCCAGGATTAACTGGGCCAAGAGGATTAAGAGGACAACCAGGAATGCCGGGTATGCCTGGATTACCGGTAAGCATTATATCATTGGCCTTTGATGCATAGGCATAGTAACCAGAAGTTTGGTTAATATGGTGGAATCGGCTTTTAGATTCATGATTAATATCAGTACAAGTAGGAATATCCATGTTTCAGGAACTTATTTGATAATAATTTTTTCAAATTTTAACAGTTCAATTTTCATTTTCTCTCACCATGAGTTTTATTTTCAATTCTTCATTACCACAAGCATATACAATTTCTAAAATATACCCTGTAAATTCGGGCGCACTTCATTTCAACAAATTGTCAAAGATGGGCAATTTCTTGTTGTTTTAGCAGCAACAAATGTCATCTAATATAAATCATACCTAATCCTTGTACACGTTACTCCTATCAGACTGAACTATTAGTTTAGAAAGATCTGAAAGAAATGACACAATTGTTGCTTGTGCTGTTCTTCACACAGTGCAACAGTTGTTGAACCACATTTGAACTATTTTAGGGCCGAAGTGTTTCTGAGAGTGAAATAAGAGAATTGTGTTATCAGATTTTAAGAGGTAAAAGTTATTTTTTTTTCGTTGACAATAAGTCAAGACGGGAGCAAATTGGCATACATCCGTACCACCAGTGGTTTAATCAAAGACTTCTACCACTAACATAGTGATCCAGAAAAAGTACCTGATTTTTACCTTGTGATGGTAAAAAGAAGCCCTACATGAAAATATAGTTTAGTTGTTGAGACTAAAAAAGAAACTAAAAACCGCGGCCCTTCACAATTCCCATTCACAATTCCTCAATTACACTTCTCGTTGTTTATACTCCTTCCCCGAAATCTAAAAGTAGGACATCAAACTCAGGTAGTCCATTATCTGATCATAAAAAAGAAATATATTAAAACAAACAACTGACCTATTTGAGCCTGCTACTGTATCTTGGCATAGTCTAGTTAGTAAAGGGAAGTAACACAACATTAGTATTAGTCGTGGTGCCATGTACAAGTACGTTATCGGACGGTATGATATGAAATCCGGATTTAACTTTTCAATCGAATAACACTCCTCTTAATTCTTATTTTCAGATCAAATTGAAGATTTGGTTGCTGATTTAAGAGGTCCACCAGGACCACAAGGTGTTGGTAAACCTGGCAGACCAGGAGCTCCCGGAGATCAAGGACTCGAAGGTTTCCATTTTTTCTTATCAATTAAGACAATAAAGAAAAGCCTGAATTTTCTTTAAGCTTTGACTGGTCAACAAGTACACCTGCACGATTACATTTTGTACGCAGATCGCCGGCTTCGGAAACTCTTTATGCTTCGCTCGCTTGTTGTTTTCGTGGAAGGTAGAGTTTGAACAGACATCTTCGGTTCTAGGCTTCTAAACATCAGTCACGACGTCCTAATACCTTAGGATCGGATCGGATGGGTGAAACTAACTTGTTCTGAGATATATTACCTTGGTGATGCTAATATTAAATATCAAGCTGGAAATGTAGTAGCTTTATAGGTCAAGAATGCGGTTAAGATGTTATTCTAAAAAATTTATTTAAGGTGAAAGAGGACCAGTTGGGCCACCAGGTGAAAGAGGTTTCATGGGATTACCAGGCTTACCAGGTCCACAAGGACCACCCGGATCACAAGGTGGGTCACTTAATTTGCAAAATGATTTAGTCTGAAATATCGTAGGATTATATGTGTCAACGGAAAACGAACACAATCAATGTCATACTAGATTTGGAGAACTATTAATATCCACAGGAATGTCAAAGCAATTTCTTTTGAACCAAATAAACATGAATTCCTGAAGTAAACCCAAATTACATTCATTCCATATATATTTTTTTTTTTCATATTTGCTGATTTATCAATTTTTGTCTATTAAAGGTATAAGAGGATCTAAAGGTGATAGAGGACCTACAGGGTATGGTATGGATGGTAAACCAGGACCACCAGGTGCTTCAGGTAAAGTAACATGGTTATTTCTAATTTTGAAAAGATAGAAGACATTACCACAAGTGATTGAAAGCATGGAATCTGCGTATGTATCGATTGTCCAACATTTAAATAATAAGAAAGAAATTGTTGAAAAAGACAAATGAAACACTGATCAATGATGATGTTAATTAAAAGAAATTGAGACTTTACCATTATGTATTTCAGGTCCAACTGGACCGCCCGGAGAGGGCATCATGGGTAGACCGGGTGAACGAGGACCACCCGGACAAAACGGAAACACCGGACATAGGGGTCAAAGAGGTCAACCTGGACCCCCAGGATATTGTGAATATTGTAATTACGCTAGTGCAGGAACGAACTATCTTCGTATGTCACGAAATAACAACAAGGGGCCTTAAAAACATCACAAACCTGTTAGTCAAATATTTAAATATTGTTTCAAAGTTGACCTGTAGCAACAATAGATTTTCCATTTTGTCCCATTTGATTAGTTCTGTTTACATTCATCTTAGACCTCTACTTTTAGTTTTCCTTTTTTGTAGTCCTATTCATCCACCTGTACGATTTTCAGTCATTTGTTTACATTTATGTTACTTATTTTTTTAGCTTAGATTAAATGACATAGAATCATCTCAGACACTTACTGGCCATTGTACGGAGAGGAAAACATTTTCAGATCATATTAGTAACACTCGTGTACAATGAGCAGTGGGCAGAATGAAGATGAAGTCACCCTTATCCGTTTCCTGCATGCTTCAAACTCGATTTCACCCCATTAACATACATTTAAAAGTCTACAGGCAACTTAGGTTTGGGGTAGTATTTAAGGCTCTTCATGGGTTTATTTCGTTGAACATAATGTCAAATACTCGTTGAGATTGGTCTATGCATCGCCAGAAACGAACCTTTGGAAATATCAATATCGTTTATGAAAATCGACACCGAAGCATTGATTGAAATTGTTGTGCACGTGTAGCCTATGGTGGAAAAGAAACCAAAAGTGTCGAAACCGGAAGTGTCATAGTGCCTTTAACGAATACGTACACAGGGATATCGGCATAATTATTTTAGACTTTTTTTGTGATGCCAATTTCAGATTCAATTTTACTGACCTCAAAAAACTGCCATTTTGAGGTTTGCTAATGTTTATATATTTTTTTTTATTTTGTCCAATGGAAAGTATCGGTCGATTGAGATGTTCAACGAGACGGGATATGACGTCATTGATTTATGTGTTCACTGATTTCTCTCATAATGTCCAATGCATTTATTTCGTAAAGTGAAATGTTTATATTTTATGACAGATCTCAGAATCATTTGGAATGAGGAAAGAGGAAGCGTTCGGAATACTTGTTTGAGAATACATGGCAAGATCCATATAAGATTTAGGAATTTGGCTTTAGTTCGATTGATTGAAAGCTTGCTTACAGTTTCAGAGAGATCAAGTCGAGAATGTGGGCCTTCGGTATCAAGGGTTAGATACTAACTGACTCGTCAACCTTGATAAATCGAAATACTTTTAAAGAAAATTTAGTTATGTAAATATATAGCACATACAATACTTTCACCGCTTTTTAAATAAATTGCATTTTTCGGAAACCGTATTTTTGGGGATTCAGAGCCAGTATGTGCCAAAATCCATTATATATAATGAAATTTATACATTGAACATCGAAAATTATCCAGATAGAAATATTTTTAAAAGAAAGAATTATATTTTATGTAATCTGTAAATTATTATAGTAAGTCCAGTAATATATTATTATCGATTATTTAGATATTTTATAGTTCACTGGGTTCGGTTTTGCGATAAATTAGCATGCTATCAAACCGTAACACTTTTGACGAGCGTTACAACTTATAAAATATAGGTGATATTTATTCTTCATTATCTCCAAACTCCTCAAAATATGGAGGCAAGATCAGACTAGAATTGCATACAGCTCCAAGCGCGGCACGAGATCGATAATTTTGAATTCAGAAACCACAACAGCATGTATCTGATATTTTCAAACTGCCAACAACATTATTGATAAAAAAAAAAGTGCATGCTGAATTTATCGTAAGCCACCTAGAAAGAAATTTTGCTTTATTATGTTTATGAATCTTGTATAATAATATTTTGATAAAGAAATATAGTCAAATGTCAATGAGATTTTTTTTTATAACTAACACGCTCTTAAAGGCCATTTTGGGAGTGCCTTTAGGCCTTGAATATGTAATAGCCTTCAGAAGTACTAGAATTACACGAAAATCGCACGAGAAATATGTCTCCTGCTTATTGTGAAGATTTCCACTGAAAATATTTAGCCACCTACAGAGACAAAATTAGTTTAAGTTGCCTTTTATTATATCACCCTTTTTTAAATAAATTCAAGTTAATCAATAAGAGATACAAAGAAGTAAATACCATATCTTCACGTCTAATTTACAACGTTTTTAAAAATGAAAAGTGTGCACAATTCCCCTTAAAGAGTCAACTACTCTCGAACCAGCAACTGTACCAAATGAGGAGATTTCCGAACGAAAAAAAACACACAGTCAACGCTAAAGGTAAGGATCACGTCGATTGCCCATAGACCACAAATATTCTGACCAAAAGGAACAGTACCAAATAAACTCCAAACGTCAGGATCACGCACGAAGCACACTGATTTCACGTAGACCACAAATATTCTGACTAAGGTTCGGTTGCACTACTATGATAACTTATCGTTTTAAATTCAATCTTTCGTAACCTCTACAGTTTAAATATAGGAATGGTTATAAAAGTATTGAATGATAAAGCGAATTATATAAATATAAAAGATAAGGCTTGAGAAAATTAAACATGTTTGCAGAAATAAATATGACGAAAATGGTCTTAATCCTTCAGTTGATAAGGAACACCTCTTCACAACATGGCGTTTCTGGGATTCTCTCTGGTTTCGGTATTCCTTATTTACTCAAGTGAAGGTAAGACTTTACAATACAGATTCAGTTTAGTTTAAGATAGCTTCTCAAAAGTAGATCCTTCAGAACAAGATTCAAATGAGGTAGGTCAGAAGATTACCAACGGTTTGAATTATTGCACATAGAAGGTAGAAGATGAGGTATTTACAAAACCAATGAACAATATGCAAGTAAAAAAATGTAATGAGACAATGGAACATTAAGAACACTATCAAAGCAAATAAAGCAACACATGTGGCAGAGATCTATCACTACCCAAACTAATCTAGGGCTTCCATTATTACTTCTTTTTCTATATAGCTGAAGTTAACCAGAACTGAGCCGACACTTTGGGCATCAAACAAGCTTTAATGATGTCCAAATGGTACACATACCTATGTGACCAAGGTGTCAAGTCTCGCGGGAGAGCAGGTAAACTGTTTGAATAGCGATACGAACCAATCAACAAATTTGTGGACTTATTGAACCCTAAAGCATAAAGTAGTGAGGTCGCTGGATTAACCCAAAAACAGATAGAAATAAGAATTCATAATTTATCAAAAGTAGCTTTTTGACCATTTTTTAGGATTTTTACTCCACCATAATAAATGCTATGATGACATCGGATGTTTTGATAATGGACATCCATATACTAATTCACTTGGTGAATCACCCGACTCACCAGAGGAGATTCAAGCTACATTGAACTTATTCACCAGAAAGAATCCTTCCAAAGCTCAAGTCCTACCATATAATGATGTAAACGCCATTGAAAATTCAAATTTTGACCCAAAACTTGACACCAAAATTCTAATCCACGGTTTTATTAGTGACGGTAATGAGCCATGGTTAGTTGAAATGAGACAACGATTTTTAGCTATGGTAAGTACACACATCGAAATTTCGAAATCGGGCAAATTCGAATTATAAACCTGCTGGATTCAAATATATTTTGAGACCACAGTAGCATCTTCCAAAACCAAAACAAAAACCTCTTGTATTTTATCTGTCGAAATACCATCAAATTAGCACAGAAATTAAAGACTGTTTACTAAATAAATAATGTGATGGTATCTGTTTTCAGGAAAATTTGAACGTCATTGTAATTGACTGGCATGCTGGTGCTCACAAATTTTATCCCGAAGCAGTAGCAAACACAAGAGTTGTTGGTGCCGTTGTAGCTAAATTCATACAAACAGTTCAAGACAATTTCCAGGCCGATCCTCATCAATTCCATGTCATCGGACATAGTTTAGGATCACATGTAGCCGGATATATTGGTAAAAGAACAGATAACTTAGGAAGAATAACAGGTAAATGTGTCTTTGACATCGTTCAGCACATAAACTTAAGATTTCGGATTAGGAAAAGTAAAAAAAACGTGCTAGTTCCTTGTCATCCTTTCTTTACACATCCGAAACTAGACTCTACTGTTTCACTTTGGTGGATAATCTTCGTATTAAGGACCGAGATAGTACATGTCCATGATGTAACATAATTTTCAAAGGGGCCAATCAATTCTTTTCTACATATGGTTTGTTTTGTAAATATGAACACATACACGAAGCTTGTAAATATTAAATGAATATGGGCAACCTCTCTGGAATGAAAAGGTCGTTTAAATTATATAATGTGAAAGTCTCACCTATGTATTGATGGTCGGGTGTGGGTATGACGACGATGCCATCTTGGCAAGGTACTCTTATTAGACTATTTCAGTCGGAATTACGGTTCCAAAAAGTAGAATGAATCACAAATTAAAATTAAGAGGCGATTTCGAATTAAAGTGGTGTGATTTGTTGTTTCAGGTCTAGATCCTGCTGGACCATTATTTGAAGATACTGATGTTGATGTAAGGTTAGATCCTAGTGATGCTATATTTGTCGACTGTATACATTCAGACGGGTTACCAATTTATGATTTAGGTAAGAGACTAGAATTGATTGGGCAAACAGAAATTATTCAGTACACAGTGTCGTAGACATAGATGGTTTTCCGTCTGATTCAGTCCAACCGATAGAAACTGAAAGGTGGTAATGCTTGAAGGTGCAAACCGTAATGGATTTATCTGAAATATTTGCGTGCTACATAATTTATCAAGATATCAACTTGAGCTTGGTTGTTATCATCTACCAACTAGTTTATCAACATTTGTTATGAAGATTACATTTAGATTTAAAAATAACATACAGATGGAACAGAGTTTCTTTTCTTAGCTGATGCATTATACGTAAATGCAAATGTAACTTACAGGACCATATCGACTTCCTCCGACGCCATTATTGGTCTACCCCTTCTTTGCTATCCAGAAGACTTGATAACATACTTGTGAAGCGTGCTTGTATCATTTGTCAGTGATAAAAATGAATCACATCTTAATTACAGGTTTAGGAACACCTCATGCTTGGGGTGACATTGATTTCTATCCTAATGGCGCCTCTGACCAGCCTGGTTGTCCTAAACCAGTATCTGGTGGACTTCATGCAGTATTTACTCTCAAATTCAAAGGTAACATAGAAAAATCTGGAACATTCAAAGATTATGAACGACTAAGCTATTAGAGTCTACGCACTAAGGAAGATTTTCTCTACGTTGTTAATCTAGCCCATGTTTGTAAATCCCGTGTCCAAAACAAGCTCGCATCCTAGGCACATGTCTGTGGCATGAAATGAGTTCATAAAATAGCCTAGCAATTTTCAATATTGCAACTTTATTCGGGTTTGATTGCTTAAAATTATCGAAGAAGCCAGGGATGCAAATGATCCTTGTAAAGTTTACCAATAGAGTCAATATCATTTGGTATTCTAGGCCGTTATTTTTTCAAGTATTAACCAAATTAGTAATATATATAGTAGTTGTCTCCCGTTATTGGTTTTTTCTATTTCTGAGAAGGTGATCACACAGTCGCTGTTACCATGGAAAGCCGATAACAACCATGAAAAACTGAAGTGATATCATCCCATTCTATTTGCAGTACTTCACACTTCATATCATTTTTTATCGTCTTGCACCTCTTGTTTTTTACAAGTTAAATCAAGAAAGAGGTCTCTAGAAAACTAATTATTATCTATATCCACCCTAGAAATCCATTTTTGATTTTTAAGAACTGTCCTCAGACGTTTCATGCAGTCATCACAGAGCAATCTCATACTTCTTAGAAACTCTGCAACAGAACCAAACCTGTCAATTCCAGGCTTACCCATGTTCCACCTTCAAAGATTATTTGAAAGGATCGTGTACCAGCTGTGGAGATGGTCCCTGTCCAGTTTTGGGATACCGTTCAATTGACAGCCATCGTAAAGGCAAATATTACCTCAAGACTAATTCACAGTCTCCGTTTTGTATGAAACGTAAGTAACCTAATTGGCATTGACATTAAAGATTTTTGGAGGGTTGATTTGTAAGGGTTACAGTAGAAACTAAACGATGTCTCTCGATGAGCTAGACGCTAGCTCGCTATGGATTTGGGGTCGGTTCTGCAAAAAAAAATTGTCTTCGGTATGGTATTTCACAATGTTAAATTCCGCTTTTGCGTTTTTATTTGGGTTCTGGACAGTTTACTAGGTGATGTTACTTTGGCAAATATACAATTTAGAATATGGAATTTGGACTGAATTCAATCGTTTGTTTATTTTGTTTATACAATTCTAATGAGATGACTAATCGTCAACAAATACCATACTATTATGTACAAGGCTAATAACTACAATTACAAAGTAAATTTTGGATAATTCAACCGCCATGATAAACAACACAATCTTTTTTTGGGAGCTGTGGTGGCTCAGTGTGTCTGGCTTACTGTCCGAAAGGTTCGTGGGTTCATACTCAGCACAGGTCAAGATAATACCTTTGGATTTTTTAACTCAGCTTCCCTTTGTAATTAATGTAGGTTGGAGGGGCTAACATGCAAAAATCGTCTTTGTTCGCAATGGGCAATAAACCGACGAGTGTGTCAATGGTTTTGCACGTAGGTCAATGCCGCTGTCCTGGCAAATTTTCCTCATTGCACACTATATAGCATTGTCTGTCTTTATTAAACGATCTGGTGCAGAAAAAACTCTATTCAATTCATTTCACTTTTTTATTAAATAAATAAGATAATTGAGATAAATATTTACAAAAAATCACGGTGTTCGACAAGAATGAAAAATCGTTTCAATGATTAACCTTATTACTGAGTACAGGTTTACAACAAGATTGTGTGCATGATGAATAAATGGTATGTGAGTCAACAAAGAGTCATCGTTTCACAAAGTTAATTGAAACACGAACAACCCGATCCACATTTACAATTGTCTACTCCTGTACAACCAACACCGCATGCACACGTTCCTGAAATATACATAATAGAAGCATTTATAATACTTACTATATTAATAATTTAAACGTTGTTAATGTATGATCAAATCAAACTTAATTAAAATTTGCTGATATTAATAACAGTGATTCCTTAGAATTAAAAATCTGGGCTATATAAAGCTTGCATATCTAAATGGTGGCATTACGGATTGGGATCTCCTAAGGCTTCGATGTCTAAGAATATGATACTCATGTATAACACTGGAGATTCGAAACTATCCAAAAAGCCTTAATCGATTTTGCTCACTTCTAAAAATGTCTAAATGACGCAACAAACTGGAAAAAAGGGGGGGAGTATCCAAAAGTTAAGCTCAACAGGTAATATTCTATACCTGTCCAAACTTATATTACTGATAAGATAGATATAAACAAGACTTATGATATATGAATAACAAAGATAATAAAAGGTCACGGCCGTGGGTCAGGATGAACTTTTGATGACCTTAATCCCTTCCGGTTCCTAACCACTATTCAAATGGCTATCAGAAATCATGTTAAGTAGGAAAAATTTAGGAAATATGTTCCATGTTTTATGCCCATCATAAAGAACTTTACGTCTGTTAGCCTCACCTAAGAAATTGGCGCCAAAAATAAAATGAAATGTTTCCGGTCTTCACCAATGATACTGTTCATTTGCGTGCCCATTTGTCCACATCTAGATGGAATTTTTGAAGCGTGGAGGCGTCAATAGAAGTGGTTTCAAGAACAAGCATCTTCACAAAGGTAAAGGTAGTACTAGTTCCAAAGTGAAGATGAAGAACCAGTTCCGTTAAGATATTTACCTGGACATTTGCATTGGAGTTTGCCTGGTGCACAGCAATCTGGTTTATTACCAGGTTTACAGCAATCAGCTGGTCCAGTATCACAACACAACTTAGTTTTACAACATTCATATTCGGCAATACAACCTACAAAATAACAATTTAAGAACATCAGTATTGTTTGTTTTACCACAAAACAACATCATTTTCCCCGAGTGCTACAAGCTTTGCACGTTAAAGATCCCTCGACAATTGGAAATCGAAAAAGAGCAGGCTTATGCCGCTGTCCTGGCAAAATTTCCCTCATTGCACCCTGCATGGCATTGTCCGTCTTCATTAGCCCACATGGAGCAGAAAAGTAGGACGTAAAACTCCATTCATTTCATTTCATTTAAGTAGGCTTACAAATGTCAAACTGGTGGGTTCAATGTAAAC